TGAATAAGTATGATGTTGGCCTCTTGCAAAAGTCAGAGAATGCCAAGCTTCACCACAATGTTGGTGGTGCTGTGCGGATTCATGATCCAATTCATGTTCACTGACCGACTTGGTTCGTGGTCGAACATGTGCTGCTGCTTGGAACTTGGAATGTCAAACACATGGGGTGAAAAGAAGATGGACACCTCGATCCAGTATTATTTATAAGAATCAGAACTTAGCTGATCATGACTTAGGGAAAGGTTTTCTTCCCACTTCCCTTGTCGTCCAAATGTTCAGCTTGGGATGGACTCTTCCAGGTAGCTGAGCCGATCCCTCCTCCAATCCCTTGCTCCCGCCGCGCCGCGCATCGACCCCAACGGCTCCAGGGGGGCGAGGGACTCTGGGGAAGACCCCAGCGACGCAGTCGTTCGTACAGGTCCGGTGAGTTGATGAATGTCCAACTCTACGACCTGACCTGACAGTGTCTAATGGACTAGCCAAATGTTCTTAGAGGTGTCTAGAGGTGTCCCAAAACTGGACTTGGAAGGGCCTGGTAGACCATTGGTTTGCTGTCCAACTCTCCAATCCAGGCAGTCCAACTCACTAGTGTCCAGCTATACTGTTGTGCAAAAACAGAGCCGCCGGCCGCCCGGCCGTGACCCCCCGCACCACGCGGTCCGGCGGGCGGCTCGGGCCGAGTGCCATGTGCTCGGAGGCTTAGGGCGGCGAAGAAAACGCAGAGCGGCATGGGGATCAATACGATGGGGGGACTTGGGAACACGAAGGCGCCCGAAAACACGAAGACTGAAAGAAAGATGAACGCCACCACCGAACATTTCATGGTCATCCGAAAAAAGAACACCAGGGATATGGCTATCCATGGAACCAGCGAGATCCTTCTCCCGGGCGTGTGAACGATTGCTTTCCCCCTATAGGCCCTAACGCTGTGTGTGTGGTGGATGGGTAGGTCCCTAGGTGGATGGAGGTATTTCACGGCAGGACCCGCGAATTGGAAGTGACATTACATTGACTTCCAGAGACAATGACTCTGAAGCAGGTTACCAAGAATCAGAGTTCTGGACAGAGCATGATTATACCAAGAGCCCCACTGGAACGACTTTGGGGTGCTAAAACCCAGTGGGTTTTGATTTGGACAACCAGCTGGTCGTGCGAATGAACCACTGGCTCGTCTTTCGAATGAAGGCGTACGGAGGAAATGCAAAGGGATCTCTTATATGTCTGCCAGTCGGCGAAGAAACTACCACCGCTTGTGCGTCAATTGCCAACATGTGAGATGTTTCCACATCTCAACGGCCAACAAAAACGGACATGCACCATTTTGGACCCCATACCGAAACCTCTTCAGCTAATGACCCTATACCGGGAACTACAAACAGCTCGATCTCTGCAAGGATCCTGAGACCGGTGCGCGAGCCGATCCCCGCTTTCGCAGACCGGTGCGCCAGTGAGTTTGTGACGGGGGCGACGAGTTGGTTGTTTTTTCGGGGGGCGCCGGGGGCGCCTGTTTTTTGCATGTTGACTTACTGTAAGTGGCAACATGTGACAACAGCAACTGACCACGTATGTGTGTGTGTGTGTGTTCTGACTTCTCACTTCTCACCTGCATTCTGACCATGTGCTCGGCAAGCAGCTGTATTTGGGATGGAGATAGCTGGAAGTAGAGTATTTTCAGGAGACAGACATCATTTTACGAATTGTTATGATGTTATTGCTCACCAGCAATATCCATGGAACAATACACGAAATACCATTGCGAACCGCCACGATCCCCTGGCTCCGGGTTTGCTTCGCAGGTCAATGGACTGCAAGGACTGTGTGGTTTTACCCTGGCGCTGCGAGCACCTCGGTGACAAGTCTTCGCACCAGTTGCTTGTGCGGGTCGGGACCTCTCGGAGGTTTCTCGGTGGAGGCAGAACCAACCGGGTGGTCACGTGGTCAACAGGTGAACGAATAAGAGTTGCAGTATCTATAACATGAGTTCCAAATCATTGATCTAATGCTTGATCTAAAGCATTTTGAATCGGTACAACTATACTTCTTCAACTCATCAAAAATTGGTTTTCTTTCTGATGGGACCTCTCACACATTTCAGAAGCTTGTTTCAAGGGGGGCAGAACTTAAAAAGGAAAAGCTTCTCCCAACCGCTTAACGGTTCGGCAGCAGCTACTGAGCTACCCGCTACTAGAAGAAGCTCCGCCTCGTCGCTATGTCGCTGTGGGAGCATCGGATGGGACGGTTGGACGTACGACCTCAATGATGATGCTGACGAGTATCTCACGACCGCATGAACCTCACTACCCCCTTGAACCTATGCCTATGCCTTATCATGCCTCTTCATGACCACTGGTTCAGTTCAGTGGGCCGGTTTGAGACGAGAGAAACTGATCGAGGTCACTTCCCTCAAAATAACCCTCAGGGCGATCGCGTGTGCTTGTCGCGACCGCTACCTACCTGACGGCTACCTAACTGGGGCCACGGGCCACGTGTCAAAGTGGACAAACCACCCATGGACCGACTTCAGCCGGACCAGGAGTCGGAAACTGGAGCAAAACGTCCTTGGGTCGGTCCCTACCAAGGAAGTATACGTGAATCACCTATGATCACCTGCTTTCGCCCCCCAACACCGAAAACACACCGCACCGGTGGCTCCGCGGGGATTCCTCGGCTCCCGGGACACACGGCTGCGCTGGTGAAATGCCCAGGAGCCCTGGGAGTCCCAGCCCAGTCCACCGAGTCTTGGATGAAGGAGTGGGTGCAGGTGGCTTCAAATCCACATCCAGACAACAGGCTGGGGCAGCGGTCTTCGGGCGCCATCCCAAGGATGGAGTGTCTCCCTGGTTTCACGTCCTTTTTTCTAAGGGGTTGGTCAAATCAGTTGGAGTGTGCGCGCAAATTCATGTGAGCAACCTGATTTATTTTCGGAAAGCTATTTAAGTAAAGGACCCGACATTGGGATTGCAGAATTTGCATTTTACTTGGAAAACGATAATACACTCATCAAAAAACAAAAACATATTGATGGCATCATGATGCATCATGTTTAATTATAGGAAAGCTTACGAAAGCTTAGTTTGCATAGCTGCAGTACAGCTTTTTAACCATTAAGACCGTCAGGGAACCTCGTTTCTATACTTATAGTGTAGCCTTTCCCAAAGCCGATTTTACAATGTAGCCCAATGAATGCAACGCACGCAATTACAGTATGCGATTCAAAAAACACTGGCAGCGAATTGCATCCAGCTTCAGCAAGCAGCTTGCTGATGACTAAGCACCACATCTAGCCAAACTTCTACCCAAAGGGTGTGCCAAACCACGGCTGAGGATGTTTCTCTGAACGCTCAGAAGGCAGCTGCACACGGGATTTGGGAAGCAGGTAGTTCCTGGATGGAACGCTTGGAATGGCTTGGTGTTCCTTCGTTGGCCATTTCCATGCTATGGTGGCAAATTGTTGAGCCCCACTCCGACCGTGATTTGTCTCGTTCAAGAAGAGCATATCATATACCCATACAAGAAAGAAGAGCAAAGCGACCATAGATGCAAATGGATGTGCCATGGGTGTCTTGGTTGTTTGTAGACGAGGTGTTTTATTGTTCTTGACTCTGACCGGGAGAAAGCAGTGTACTTGGACGGGGTGGGCAGATGTGCCCAGTTGGTTCATTCAAATCCAACCTCCTGTGTCCAGCACATAAAACCGCCTTCGAAACCAATTAAAACGCCATGCCGGTCACGCTGTGCAAAGATCCTAACTAGCAAGCACTTTGGAAGGGGCGATGCTTCGCGGGCGGATGAGCATGTGGCAAGCAGGGCTCAAAACGCACCCTCATAATATCTCATGATTGAGATTCAGTCATGAGTCATGGGGAAGATGATCAGTGGGTGTGTCTTCACCAGCTTGATTGAAAGAAAAAGCGCTGAACACAGAGATGGAAGCAAATAGAAGAAAAGCAGATCATCCATTGGCATTCCAATGAGAAAGGCCATGCCGTCATGCGATCCCATCACCAGCAGATTTCAGACATCCCCGCCTTTCCTTCCATTTCCAACTCATGTCCGCCATAGTCCACCCTTCAAAAAAAGAAGATAACTCACAACAAAAAGGATACCAAAGAACTTCAGTGCATTTGTCCGCCCCTCATCAGCCACAGCTCGGCACCCGACAGCTTGGCACATGGCGCGATGCCGTGCCCACGTGAGCAGGGCTGAGGAGGGCGGCCCGAGGCGAAGGGCTCGCGTGTCATGGCCACCGGTGAGCGCCCAGGACAGCCTCAAGGGGCGCGCGACTGAGGAGGGGAGAAGCTGTAAAGACGGAGTGAAGTGTTTAAAGGACCGAGCAATAAGAAACAGGTCTTTTCTTTGAGCTGTTTGCTTCGGTCTTTCTCTTCCCAGGAGATAGGAAGTACGTGGAAGGAATGTAGAAACCCGAGTCATTCACAGAGAAACTGGAGCTGTTCAATGCGGTTGTACTGTGGTTCCATCAACAGTCCATCGTGATTTTTGACTTGGTCAAGGAGTCGACTCCAGGTATTGAAACAATTAATTTAGCAATAATTTAGCAAACAGTAGCAATATTAGCACAACAATGCACAATGTAAAAACAAGAAACACACACACAATATGTTATTTTATATGTTGCAGAGTATCGACAGTAAAGGGAGAGAGACATGTGGACTCTGAAGTCAAGGTTTATTCTTCGTCCAGAAGTTTGGTGCCTTATCCTACCTAAAAAATGTACTGATACTGCAAAAGGCTCGCAGATGTGTTCTGCATCTCAGCATGTATTGGGTGCCCGAGCAAACGCTGTGCTGATCGAGACATATCGAGACCAACTGTTGCTGAGTGGTGTTGAGAGAGCATCTCTCACCCCGCAAATGACAACAGGTCATTGAACCCCAAACCACAACAGCTTGCAGTAAGGCAAGTGTTCCTCTAAAATGGATCCTACATGTTCCAACACTTTGAGTCAGTTCCGGCTTCGGGATGACACACTGACTGGCGGTCTTCGGATCCGACTCCTCTTGAAAGCTGTCGGCTTGACGGAAGCTTCGGAAGCTTCGGCAGCCAGGGTGGACAGTGTTTTGTTTGTTTTTTCTTCTGAGACAACTATGCCTTGGGGTCCGAGACAGGAGGTTGTAAGTTGTAACAGCCTGAAGTGTATACTGTAATAATTATCCTTTTTTTCAAGTGACGGCTCCTGGATCAAGAAACATCTCATCCACTGTTAGAGGTTGTGGAAAGGATCCCAACTTTTCAGACCGCCAAATGTTCAGCGATGCCAGGAAGTGCAGGGAAAGAGACCTGGATTGGCATAGGTCAGGAGTTCGTGAACTGGAGGTCGTGTTTTTTCAATGTTGAGCCAAAATTGATCCAAATGATGGGACGTGACGTGTGTGTATGTTTCTTAGGAAAACCACATATTCCATCCTTCTTCCCTTCTTCCAGAAGGTCAAACTGGGAGGCCTCCCGATTTTACCCTAGGGCTCCAACCATATCCTCAGAAGGATTCAGAAGGTGGTTAGACCCCAAGAGCACCCACCCCAGCCACCGAACCGAAACGGAGGTGGGCCAGGAACCTACACGGGTTAATAGCTACACACCCAGTTCAACACGTCACTCGTGACACACACTTGTCGACTTGCAAGTCATTTTCGTCCTGATTGGTCGACTTTGCCTCTCAGACCATCCATTGGATCTCTACATGAGATCTTCCAACAACCAAGAAGTGCTGGTCGTTTTGGTCATTGCCCCGGTTTTCCGCGCAAACAGCCGCAAATCAGTGCAAATGACAAAACGACCGCAAATCGTGCAAAAAAAGTGCGCAACAACCTGCAAATGACCACAAGAATCCGCAAAAACAACACAAAACGCATCAAAACGACTGAAAGGACCATTCATGATTGGGTAGTTGGAAGGTCCAGGTACCTACGTTCGGGGGTGGACTTTGTGTGTTATAGGTCCATATTTGCCAATCAACATGGAGTGCTTTGGGTTACATCCGTGGTGTTTCTTCCATCCCAAGCCCCGCAAGTCTGGTTTGACAATTGATCCCTTTCAGACCTCATGTTCATAGTGTTTTTGTATGCAACTCCAGTCAAAACCTATAGTCAAACATCCCAGGATATCCCAGGTGTCTACATCAACTCGTCCAGAATGGCCAAAAGACGGGTCGGTCCGTCTCGACCTGTTTGTTTCGAGGTTGACGCGTCCAGCATGGTAAACCTGCCCAGGATAGCCAGAAGAAGCTCAAGGTGAAGACCAAGACCGTGAACCGGAGTCAGAGCAATTTAGGCAAGATCACTCTGACTGTGATATTTTCGTGAGATTTCGTGAGGTTTCGCGTGGTCGGGCTGCACATGTTTAAAAAGGATCTTATATTGTCAGTCCCACCATGAAAAACCACATGGTTGGGAGCCCACGTTTGCTTTCATATGCTTTCATGGTATCATTGTCTCCCCATACCATGGTTTCATGGTCCCCACTAGCTTGTTTCACGGTCCGTCCTCGCTGACCGCGTCCTTTCTGTATGGGGCGACCGTTGGCACATGGACACCGTCTCAGTCCATGAGGACACCTAGAAGCGACATGCCTTCATGTCGGGGTCACCTGGCTGGTTTCGCCCCAGCCCACTAAGGGACCTCCAGACAGGACACCCCGAAAGAAGGTCCAGGTAGGATCTCATTCCAACCCAGTGTAGCCCAGACGAGCTCACTCCTCTCATTGCCTCTCCCTCTCTGCCACGGCCACCGCCGACACCTCCGCCTTCCCTCCGCGCGCAGAAGAGTTGGATCAAAGCTCCCGCTGTGAGAAGCTTGGTTTTGCCTAAGGGCGAGTTTTGTGCACCAGCTTCTTCAAAGTGACCTCTTTGGAGTGCCTAAGTGACCTGTGACCTCAAACTGTGATATCAAAAAGCTCACCTTGAAAAACCAGGTACTGTATGTGTATTTTCCAGCTTGGGTGAATCCCCTTCTGGTGAATTCTGTTCGTTTTTGTTCCCCCCTATACAGCAAATCCAAGGAAGTGCTTGGACTACCTCATCACCGGTGACTTTGGCGGCTTGTACCGAGGCCAACTTCCGTTTGTTGCGCTGTGGCGTGGGAGGGTTTTGGGCCTCCCAAGAAAAGGTTGGGTGATCATTTGGTGAAAGCTAATGATAAATATGGACAATCTTTTGAGACCAGAACAGGGATATATGATATATATGTTGACACGTCACTTCTGATTCTAGCTGCACTATGTTGATCTGTTGATCTCTACAATATGACTACAGACTTCGATGCTGAACGGAGACTCTATTGCCATGCAGCTTAAAAGATGACATGAGGAACATGGCCATAAGTGACGCAACAGATTCACCGGAACTGTTGACTTTGGAACGCCTTCTTGTTGGGAGAGTGTGTTTGGGGTTCAAAGGCCGTTCGATTCTATCTTAGAAGACCTCTTCAGCCGCTGGCAGGATGTGTCACCGGCTTCAAGAACTGCTTGTGGAATCTCTGGGAGACACTTGGCTTGAAGAAACGTGGAAGGGGGGTGAAGAGGGCAGTTTCCACAGATTGGAAGTCCTGAAGACTACGAATATCCCTTTGTTTTCTATCATTGGACATTTCCCTGTTCAGCGGCCAAGCCGATGTCAGTGGAACAACATGCATATGGAACAACGACGGTGTGTTGTTGTTTTTAAAGCTATTTCAGTGGTTGCTTGCGGTAGCTATACATTCGCTAGGTTTGGGGTTTGGTGGACAGTAGAATGTAGAAACAGGTCAGCTTTGGCTCCCCTACAAGTAGAACATGTAGTGCCTCCAGCACGGTCCCAGTCGCCAGAGCGACAAGCGCACCGCCGCGGAGGCGACAAAAAAACTTCCAGAAATGGTTCGCCGACAAGCGCAAGGTGGGGGCCTTTCATAATGATGCTCATTTGCGTGGGACGGTGGTGTTTGAGTCTTTTTCTCAGTTGCTTTCCCATCAAGTGAGTCGTTTGTTCTATTTAACCATGCAGGTTGTTTTGGGACACTTTCAGGGGACGTGTAGAGCTTCTTTGTGTCGTTTCATACTTGGATGCTGCCCATAGACAATACCTGGATGTTCACACTCCGTAGTATATATGCCTTTTCATCCATAAACCAGACAAGTTCGGTAGAAAGTTTGCATAGTTGGAAGATCCAGGTATAGCATTGGTATACCCAGGTAGACCTGCGGTTTGTATAAATTAGACCATGCAAAGGATACCCGCTCGCAAACTAAAATGAAACCTGACAATTGACCCGACGCAACCATTTTCCGATTGCCAACCCAGTGGGTTTTGGGTTCCATGTGGTCCTCTGCAGGGGAGTAGGTTCTAACGCCTTCTGAGAATCCAATCTTTAGGTGGCATAACTGTTTGATGCTTTCGTGGTCGACACATACCTTTCTTTTTAAACATCTTGTGTTGCAAGTGTTTGGCTCGACCAGTGGCTGCTTCGAGCGCAAACAAGTGGCTGCTTATGTTCTTAACACATTGTTGTGCGTCTTCGCACACCATGGGTCAAAACTAGCACATGACTGCGTGCGCCAAGCACATGAGGCCGGCCGAACGGAACTTCTCCGGAGAACGTCGCATCGTCGCCCCGGAAGACGGTCTGAAACGGTTCAAAGCGAAGCTCGAGGTCTGAACCATTTCAGACCCTCCATGACAATTGCTATTTTATTTCGCATTGTTTAACAGTTTATAGCTACACTGGGGGGTCAGGGGGTCAATGTACATACTTCAAGAACCCTAAAGTTACGCTTCTTACTCTGTTCCAACTTGACACTTGCGGTCTACAGCGGATCGGATTGACACGCCCATCACGGTCAGATTTCCACACCCGTTTTAAACTTAGAATACTTATAAGTTATAAGGCTTTCAGGTGTGGAAATCTGACCGCAACTTAGGTGTCGACATGTTGCACGTAGGATTCTAAGGGGAAAGGGTTTGTCCCGTTTTTGAAGTCAAGAAGCGCCACTTTCGGCACCCCAGTGTATTATACTGTAAATAAAATAGATCACTTAAGTGCTTGGTATGTGTAAGTAGCTGGCTTGTTTGATCGAGTGCTTCGAGCCAGGGTTGATTGAAGTCTGACTGGAAGACTCAAGAACTTCTCCATACCGGGAGACCGACCCGGGAGGTCAACCTACCGGGGGTCCCCACGGCTCCGGGTGCCCTGACCCAGACCCAGCTTGCCAGGAGCAAGAGGCCAGGGCCATGGACTTTGATATGCCTCACCCCTTTCCTCGAATCCGAACCATTGTCAACAGTACGAGCTTTGAAGCCTGGGGATCCTCGGCCCAAAAGGCGAAAGCGGAAGCATGGCGCGAGCCTCGAAGTAGCGATAATCTGCGCCCATGTCATCCGACCTGAAGTCCTGTGCGCGAGAAGAAGCCCAGGTTCTACCATGGACACATGCCATGTTTGGTGCCCGTGATCCGTGGCCTGTGCTGAGGAAACTTTGTGATCTTTTGCAATACCTTCGTGGTGGGATGGCAGGCTGAAAATCTGCTCCCCAAGAACACCACGCCGGAGAAAGAGCTACCCGACAGAAATTGGACGCACGTTAAAAGTATCAAAACGATTCAACACGGTTTGTTACCTTCTGCTAGAGTGCCCTAGAAGTTCAAAGACTATATGTGGCACCACTGAAATGCAAATTAGTTTTCATATATATATATATATAACATTTATAAAGACATGTTAACATATTTTAAATAGTCCCAGAACTGTGTACTTTGCATTTGTTTTGTGGGCGGGTCAGTGAGACGGGGCAGAGGCATTGTGGCGCACAAGTCCTTCGATCCCCATCCCAGCTCTACTGGGTTTCCAACCGTCCCTTCTCCTGCGACGGAGGCACCACGAAAGTGTTGATTTTCAGAAACCACCGTTTTGTCCCTTTTTACAGGTTTGTAGCATTGAAACACATCAGGCTACTTCCAATGAAAGTGCTCCAAAACACAACGAGAGGGTCGTCCCACCTCGGGTGTTACGGTGTTCCGAAACACCCGCGCTGAAAAAACGTGTTGACGCCGCAACACGTGGCTTCTTTGTGCCGTGTGCGACCACGATATAGGCAGATCTCCTTCATCTTCGAGCAGGTTTTCACCTCTGCCTTTGTCGTGCCCAGACCAAAGAATCCGTCGCTCCGAGTGTTTCACTCACGGAGAAGGTTCCGGGTGGGTGAAGGTGAACGACGCCGTTCTCGGTGCGTTCGCTCGGTTTTCCGGAGCGTCATTTTTGGGGGAAAGCCCAGCAAAGGCATTTTAAGACATCCAACAGGCAGTGATCCAATAGGAACGGTTTGCCCTCCATTCAAACTTAGGATGGACATGGTTGCACCAGATGGAGGGGGCCCAAAACCTCTACCCTCACCGCAGCCGGCCTCGATTGCAACCCCCCCAAAGTCATATATTCATTTTAAAACATGTTAAACATAATCATTTACAGTAGTGATCTTCTATATAGAGTTCTATTTTGGATATCCAGGATTATCCAGGCCTAGTCCAGTTCACTTAACATTTTGAGACAGATAGGCAATGTCCCCAGTTCCAGCACTTAGAATTTATTTCGTTTGTATTGCAGAGGTGGAGTGACTGAGTGGCACATATACAGATTCAGATACATATTATGTTCGATGTTTGTAGTTGTATGTTTAAGCTTATATAAACATCATGGATCTGGACTTACGTACTCCTTCTTAGCAGCTATAGGTGAAGCAACTCGTACCATCAGTCACTCCAAAGCCGTGTGGTACTGGTCTGCCGGTCCCTGTGGTGCACAGTGCGCTTTGCCCAGATCGAGCTCACTTTATCAACGCTCTGCTGGGGATGGACGTCTTTGTGTGCCAGCTCCTTGGCGCCAAAGACCTATGACCCCCAAAAGCCTAGAGAACGCCAAGCGGCTCGAGTGTGCTACAGTTTCCTGCCGCGGTCAAGCTCTAAACCAAGGCTGTCGGAGGCCGTTTTTGAGTGATAATCCCTAGGGCTCCAACTACATCCCCAGGGTGGGTGCCAGGGGGGTCTAACCACCGAGAATATGGGCCAGGAGCCTTATAGGGAATATAGGGACAAAAAGTGGGACAAAGAGCAGGTTCTCTTCCTGGTCCATCTCTTGTTCACCCTGCAGTCCGTCTCTGGCAGGAGAGAACTGGCTGGACGTCTTCTTGGTCTTCCTTGGTGTCTTAACGACCTGGGTCTTTGGCTTGTTTGGTGCCTTGGCACCCGGAAGTGGAAGGCGGACACCGAAGACATACGTCGCGGCGTTCGACCGGTCGGCTGAGATCCAAATCATGTGACCGCAGGCGCAGAGTTGTTTGGGATCCATCCATACTGACCCCAATAGAGCGAAGGTGAATCCTTTTTCGTTCTCCCTAAGGGCTATTGGAATGCACTTCTATTTCGGAGGCGGTCCATAATGTCTCCTCACCGTGTTCACTTGTTGCCGGTGTAAACAATTCCTAAGAACACATGTGCTTCAAGTGGACTTGAGTGGGACGAATTGGCACAAGCAAAATGCCTTTCCACTACTTTCCATGTCCATGCTTGTTTCTTTCAGTGTTGAGTTGTGTTGTGTGGGAATGCAACATCTTCCAGCAAACACATAGGCCCTAGGCCAAGACCAAGGGCCACAATCCCAAAAGCAGAGTCAGCCGTGTTGCAGTATACTCCTCAGTAGATTTTGAGAAGAATCCCGAAGCTGCTATGTTTGAATCAACTTGTTCCTTCCCACTCTATCCATGGGACTGGACTAGTTAAACAGTGACTAGTTACATAGTTACATACACATTTACCCCATCCAAATGACATAGGATGTACGGTATAAGTGTTTGCAGGGCCGCAGGAGCTTGTTTTTTGATCATCCATGATGCATCCGAGGTCTACAGATCGATTTTCTTCGAACCTCGGCTGGTCCCGCGGGGTCCGCAGGGTCTGTTGGTGTTGTCAAGGGAGTTTTCAAGGCTTATTCCGGCTGTCCGTCTAGATATGTTGCGGTTGAACCATACAGATACACTATACAGGAGGAATTTTCTTCATGACGGAATCCAAGCATCTACAAGGATCATGAATGAAAGGACCAAAGGAGCGGTGAGCGGCAGCTTTTCTCAAGTAGCCTTCCTTTCACTGATATTGGTCAAAAGACATCGAATGTGGACCGCAACCAAGTGAGTGAGTTCACTCCAGTAACAAGTTGTCGAACTCTTCAGTCGAACTCTTCAGAACCCTCCGAACCAATGCCGTTGACCTGTATGGATCCTGTGGCATGTTGTGCATGCGGATCCGCACCGAAATGGCGGGGTGTTTTGTTCTTCTATGCGGAGGGAAGGTTTTGGGAGTTTAGACCCGCCCCCTAAAAAGAATTACAGTACACATTACTGCACTTGCCGTAGAAGAAAAATATCTGAAAGGACTTAGTTCCTCGAAGCAAGTCCGGCAGGGCCCTTCTTCTTTTGGAACTGTTCCATCCAACTTTTGAGCCTCCAACTTCTCTTAGCCTTAAAACCTGATGACCATGGGATGACAGGGGAGCTGCAGCAGAGAGACCACCCCCTTTTCCTTTTGAACATGTAGCACCACCCATTTATGTTTGGTTTAACTGATCATATCATCGAGGATACACACACACCCATCAGGACACTAGTTCGTCACATCTAGTCACAGGATCGCATGTCGCGTGGCCTGTTCGGGCACGCGACATGCCCATGATCATCTCAGCACCGCACCCGACTCGACCAACTCCACTGAGTTCCTCCGAGGAAAGCTCACGGCCCTTCGAACCTTGCGGCTGGTACGCTTGGCGCGGGCGGTGAGACTGACGCTCGGCGAGGGGCTTGGCGTGGTGAGCTGACTGAGACAATCCCGTTCCGTGGACGGTCAAGGCCTGGGCCAGGCCGGCCGACAGGTGGTTTTGGTTCACCTCGAGCTTTGGAACAGCTTTGGGTGTGCTCTTTTTTCCAAAAAGAGGGGTTAGGACTTACTTCACCTCGCACGCAATGAAGACCGAATCATGTTTGTTGCTGCTGTTGGTTATTTTTGAAAGGGATCAGTCAATGGCATTTAGCGGTTTGCCTTATAGCATTCAAAAGATCATGGACATGGCTTGTAGAGCATAGGGATACCGTACTTGAGAGAGTGTTAGAAAAGGCAGACCCCCAGCCCAGACCCCACTCATGCACCAGAAAGAGAACACTCTGAAGCCTGGTTGGGGGGTTCTCGCTATACTATAGTCCAATGCTATCCAAAACCACACCCATTTGGAGAAGCTCGAGCAGCTCGAGCCTTTAAGACTGATGTCTTGAATTGAATGGCCCTTGGGACCCTTGAGACAGAAGGGAGAAGCTCAGCTCGTCCCCTCTGTATGCTATAGGTGTTTTCTTCTCCACGTTAGGACGGATGTTTCGGATGTTTGGATGGGATGTGAAAGCGAGAATCGATCGACGTTTATGTGTGGAGCGCTGAAAACACCCCCAAAGGGATTTGGAGTGCATTTTGAAAGATCCCCAGCTTGAGTCTAATGTCCATGGTGATGTGGACCACTCAGCTGCGGTGCCCCAGCTGCTGCCCTTTTGTTCCACCCAGCTGCTGCTGAACCACCTGCTCCGCTGCTCCGCCTTTCGCTGAGGCGACCTGAGTTCTCCGAGATGTGGTTCTTGATGAAGGGCCTCATTGAGTGTGGTGAGACCCTGCGCCTTGGCGTGGGACCGAGCGATATCGGCCAGCTCTGCCTGGAATTGGAGTGGGCCTTGAGCGGGAGAAACCGCCTGGGTTTTCTGGGCTTCAAAGAGGTTGGTCAAGGGAGATGGACGAAGATATAGGTCATCATGGGCGTTTCTCCTATGAATGATTTATAGGTCAGTGAGATGGGATGAACTCACTTCATATTCAGATGAAAATATGTGTTTCATTATCATCATTTGTGAAAGAACCTAAAAGGTACATAGGCCAAACACTTGAGCACATCCGCACCAGAAACCTGAAGTAAAGTCCCTGAAATCATCGTGGAAGTGGAATTCACCGCCTGTTTGGTATTCGTAAAATGGTCATCCGTTCCTTTCGGGGCCATGCCATCCACTTCCATGAGAATTCCCTGGATTGAATGTGATTTGATAAAACAACAAAAGCAACATGCAAGAATTGAAGCTGGAACTTCCTAGACCCTTTTTTTGCGAATCTATTTCCTTGACCTTCCAAGCACGGCTTTTGGAATTTCACCGACCATGTCGAGTGGCTTGAGCAGCTTCTTTTTCTGCCCGAGCACCGATTAGTTCCAGCGCCAAGTCTTGACCAATTCAAGTTCAGCCTTTTCGAGGTTTTAGTGCCCCAAAAGCTTTTGGAGGGGCCACCATATTCGCGCTTGGAGGCAACATTTTGATCAGCTTGTCAGATGTTTTTTTTTTTTTTTTTCCAGTACATATGATTGTTCAATGCCGTTTCTCTCCAAGATAGATGAGTAGATTTCCAAGTACGCGTTTTGTAACCTCTATCTATTTGGAGACTGCAGAGATGGCACCCTTGCTGTGTGTCTATTTGATCTTATTTGATTCTTTTGAGACAGGAGCTCTTGAGCTCTGCCAAACTCACTGCTTGCACTTTTGAAGAACCAGGAAGGGTCAGCAGAATTGCCGCCCCACACTGCCACCGCGTGACTCAGGGTTTGGACCTATGTGATGATCGCTCCTTGACCAATGAGAGAGATGTTGTGAGGGCGGGCTACAGGATCACAGGATCTCAACCAGCTGGGAGCCACAAGACATTTCAGGACCTAAAGAGCCCCACAACTAACGAAAAAACTATCTTTGAAACTCATGCAAGGTTGATCGATCATACTCGATCATACTGTCAGGACTCAGCCGACTTCAATCCCTGGCGTCTTTGCCAGGAGTTCCGGGTCCCAAAACTTCCATTGAGCCAGAGATTGTACCTTGAGACCAACACTAGTTAAGGATCTGAGAACAACCAGGAGACTGCAAACTGCCTTGCTTTTCGTTGCCATCTGTCCAAAGTACCCTTACTTGTCAGCTATCGTTAGGTTCAATATTATTCCTTTTCTACCTGACCTTGTGGATTGCCGAAGCCTCACCGAATTGTCGAAGAGACACAACCAACCCACAAAATGCCGTAAATGGAGTTTGTTTACTTGTTTTTCCGGTTTGATTTCCAACACCGCTGGAACTGAACTGCAGTTCAGCGCTGGAACTGCAGCCTCTCAGGGCTGTGTGCTCTATTTCTTCGCCATCATTGCCACGGCCATGATTGGGAAGGTCGACATGTTCTTGAGCGACGCAGATGCCGGCCCCATCGCCGAGGAGCTGGATCGCTGCGTATAGCTGGTGGTCACTGGTGGTCACATAGAGAACACCGAAGGGTTGAACCATAGGGGCTTGCTACTGAGAAAAGTGAGGGAACTGAACAGTTGTGTCTTAGTCTTGGATGGTTTTCTCATCAGAACTTCACAGAAGTTCAACCTTTATATAGATCTTTGGAACTGTTCTTTGGAACTTTTGAGAAGTTTTTCATGCCAGCAAAGCAGGTGACATCCAGTAATTATTCATCTTGGAGTTTTGGAGTCATTGACACGCAACCATTTGGTAGAGGATGTTCTTGCCATCCGACTCATCGGTCCTGCCACTGCAGGAACGTACGGAACTAGACAGGAATTCTATCTTACCTGTCACCTGTCACCCACCCCAACTACCTTCTCAGGAGGTAGTTGGAACCCCAGGGATTAATGTGTTCAACTTGTATTCGGAGCCTTTTTGCATCGCAGTACTTGCGATGATGAGAATGCAAGCACTTGACTGTGCCATGCCATGGTTCGAGCCAAGGTTCTTATGTGCCTACACAAGAGATCCTACAGTCGCTCCCCCCATGCCAAAACCTCCATCCAGCCCCCCAACCTCGAGTTTTTCCCCTACCAAGTAGCCACGTCCACGTCCGGCGCCATGAGAATCCCACGAGTCACGAACAGTCCAACCAACGGCTACCGGACGTCCGGGTGCGCATCCGAAGGAGTACTTCAAAGACGTGCCTCATTCCATGCTGTCGCTCTTTCAGTTGATGACCTTGGATTCCTGGAGACCCACGTCGCATCTGCGAGTCGCCGGTGCTCGAACATATCATCCCCCAACAAACATGTAACATGGAAGTGGACAATGCCTTGTATGGTATTTTGGCTCCAAACCAGGAGTCAGGTAGATCATGGCCGGTATATCTATTTCATCCGAGGGTTAGGCTCCCAACCGACTCACTCACTCACACACAACCGACTCGCTCACCATGGGTACAATTCTTGGTGTCTTGTTGACACCTGTGATAGCGTAACCAATTCTGCAGCGAGTTTCGGGAATTTCTTCGGGAAGACACGAATTCTGCGGCGATGTTGCCGGAATCTGAAAGTGGGAAGATTAGGAAAGGAGACATGACTGTGTGCAAAATAGATTAAGGACCAATGGTTGCAGGGTCTCCTTATTTAAACAGACACTCAGACATCCATAGGTCATAGGTTGTGTGGAGTTGGCACATTACTCGACAGCCCCAAAGAACAGCCTCATAACAGAAAACAGAATCACTTCAGAACGGGTGTTTAATTGCTATTCGGAGGCCCTGCAAGTGGCAGTTAGGCGCAAGTCGTCCAGCCCAAATCCTCGAGCCCTGGACCCTCCAAGTGAAGCTTTTCTCAGAGGTGCCGACCAGGCGAATTCCCGAACCCGCCCACTGCCTCCAGGGATCTCCAACCACCTACTCCGGTCGGACGCCCGTCCCAGTCGTTTCCCAGCTGGATGGGACTGGAGAAGAGATGCCCAACCATAGCACCGGGAGCTACCGACGGCTTTTTTCCATAGAAAATTAACAGCTATAGACTACAAGACAAGGTCTACCTACCAGGGATTTTTCAGAGCTTTGGATGCCATGACTGACAGGACTTGTCTATAGGCAACTCTTCCAGTGACCATGGAGCGTGTGGAGTTGTTGGAGTTCACCAATTCCAGTGGGCCATCAGAGGTGAGACGGCACGTCTGGGGGGCCCCGAAGTTCGGTGGTTTAGTAGTGGACCCCTATCTATCTAAAAGATACCTTGTAGTGCCAGTGTCATCTACTCTGAAACCAACGTCAATTGGTGGGGTACCACTCAGTATACAATAAAGACATGAAAGACCACTGCACGGGGATTGTTGTTTGTTAGTGTTTGTTTCTACTCTGAAAGCCAGCTACTCTGAAAACCACTGTAAGCTAGGGAACTGCTGGTTCCGCTTCCGGTCGCAGGACCGGCTTCGCGAGACCGTTGATTTGGCCATCCGATGGCTCTGCTCATTGGTGGGTTGGCCACTTGGTTTGGCAGTGAAAGGAATGAATAAGTCCCAGGAGTCGCAAAAGGGTGTTTTTTTGGATCACAAAGTGAGGGGATGTGACAGGGGCACTCCTATCACCTATCCTCCAGTCGTTCGGCACCCCGGCATGGAACTGCTGCTATGGGTTTTCATTGGATCAGTTTGATGCTTCGTCACGACATCTTATATATTGACATGAAACGCCCGCCTGAAGCCCGGCTGTTAACCATCCCTTGATCGTCCCGGTTGCTTCGGTCACGGCTTAATAAGCCAGATCTGCCATCGGCCTGTGAAGCCCCTGGGACCAGGTCTGGTCATTTTCAGACGCCATTGGATGTTCCTTTGATCCTCCACCGTCAGTTCTCATCACGTTCGTGATTTCCCAGACACGACGGTCCATGTGGGACTGCCAGTCCGGACTGCCGAGAAACGGCCTTTTGGGTGGTTGACTGGGGGTCTATCTGGGGCGGCTTATATGGCAGTCCCATGGAGTGTTTGGGTTTACACATATTACTTTATTATTAAGATATTGAGATTATATTACTTTATAAGCACGAGGTAGCCTACGGTAGACTCTAATTGGTCACTCATGCCCAGGTTCTATGATTTCAGGTTCAGCTTTTGCAGGAAGCTTTTGGAACTTCAAGGCAACTCTCTCTCTCTATATATATATATATGCAAAACTCAAGGCCCCTTGAAGATACTTTTTGGAATGTTCAGCATGCTTGTGGTCCTACACACAGGAATCCCTCCTGATAAAATACGGGTGGACACGAGATGTTGGCTTAAAGAGAGTGCGTGAATCCCCTGGTTGCTGATCTGCCATCACTTTTGAGATCCACCGAACTCGCTGCCACGGACATACAGACATTTGATCTGGGTCAGATTGAAGAGTATAAAGAACGTTGTTTGGGGGACTCTTGCATGTAAAAGCCCCAGCAGTCTTGCAGACCAAACCACTCGCTTCGAATTTTGCCTCCACTTCACCACTTTTCCTGCACACCAAACGTAATTACTTCGCTGGCCTTGTCGAAAAAACGGCGGACCCCTCCGCTGCTCTCAGCTGGTTTCTTCGTTCTCTTCATTGCGGTCGGTGTCTTCGTGATGCTGAATCTGGTGACCGCCGTCGTGGTGGAAACCGGTTTCTCCGCCGCTCGGGTCGCCCGTGTGTCTGTTTTGGTCGAGATGGGGGAGAGCCTCGGTTTCGGGAGCGTGAGACGTTGACCACGGTCTGGGCCGTTGACCACGCAGCTTCGGATCTAGGTCGTCCGTTTGTCCCGGTCCGGTTGGCTGGAAGCGAACCAACCGCTGGTGGATGGGAGTTCCAAACCGGTGCGTTTCTTCGTGGTTCCTAGAGGTGAGAAACCATGCCCAACGTGCCACACCCACTCCTTTGGAGTGGTTACATGGAGTGTACCTCCGTTTCGAAGGCAGCGAGTTCTGTAGTTGGGGTGGTTTATTTTTTTTGGGGGTGTAACGACTCTCTAAGGATGTGGTTGGAACCCTAGTGCTTTGAATTCATGCTGTGACATTGACAGGCGATTTTTTTTTTCCACCGGGGACTTGTGGTATTTCGGCTGTTAAAACATGGGCAATGGGCATCAGACCAAAGACATACTAAAGACATTATCCAGTGATTCATGAATATCTAAATCTTCATGTCGCGTGTGTTCATGCAACAAACAGATGATGGCAACCTGGTGCCCTGCCAAGCAAAAGATACCCCCCTGCTATCACGTTAGTACATTCCCCAGAAACGAATCTGACAAATTCAAAATGAGCTATGGCAGCGATGAGCCTGTCCAAGATGGCGGTGTGGAGGTGAACTGGGATGATCTCACTCGCACTGTACAAGTGCGAGCGTGGAGATATGACTCAGGTGGTGCCAAGTCAGACTCGATGACGCAAGCAATCAGGAAGGACCTAGAAGCAATCAGCAAGGACTTGGAGTCTCGAAATGCTCACCTGCGCGGCTTCAGAGCTTTTGTGGACCTGAGGCAGATTTGGTCAACCATTCGCAGAAGAGACAGCTCTGAAGAATGCATGAGGCTCCTCTCCAATTTGTTCAATTTGGGCTGTGCTGGATTGCAGGACGGCTTGGACTTGCGAGGGAATGATCTTGATGACACGTTCCTTGAAGATTGCTTCACATTGCTGGAAAACTATGTTTGCAAGCTTCAATTTATCAACTTAGATGACAATCGAATCACAACAGAGGGTGCAATGAGACTAATTCGCAGGCTCCATCAACGACTTCAGACACGACGAGACATCGACAGTCAACTACTGCTCAAGCTCAACAGAAATCCAATTGATGATGGCCACAAGGTCAAGCAAGCAGCTGAAGAAGCAGGCTTTGAGTGTGAAATTGGCACATGTTGGACGCAGGAAAACGGACAAGTTGCTTTGGAGACCAAGGATAAATGGTCAGACTATTTTGCTGGACCTGCTCGATTATTGAGAGCAAGGATTCTAGAGCGATTTGAGGATATGCCATTGGCCGAATGTCCTGTTTGCAATTGCATGTTGGCACATGACCCAACGCGAGCCCACAAGACCATGCACAATCGACTAGTGTCACACCTTCAAGGTGACCGTCACCGCAAGAACCTCTATAGATCTTTTAGATCTTTGGTTGACTCTGGAAAGGAGCTCCCTGTCATCCTCATTGTGTCGCGTACGTTGAGTTTCACTCTTCATCCACTGACTGGTGAACTGCAGTCGTTTGAAAACTCCATCACCCCCCAGCCGTCGGCCGCTTGCGAGCCGGTGCATCACATCGTGGAGCTTCGCCCGGATGCCCCTGACCCGAAACTGCTGCAAGCGGTGAGCTCGGAGGGCAGGGCGTCCTTGGTGAGGGGCCTAGAGCCAGATTTAGCATATGAAATGCTGAGCCAATTCGCCGGCCGCTGCCACAACGGAGGAGAAGCAAACGAAGGGCCTTCGCTTCCGATTCCAAATGGAAACACATGATGCTGCGAGTTCAGGAGATTGAATATACTCAGCCCGGTATCGCCAAAAGGTTTAAAGATGGGAGGTGGCTTGAAGACTTGATCTCGGATTTGGAGAACTGGTCCGTGAACCCCCGCAACCATCCAAAAATGTGTTTGGAAGTGGTCTGGTGGAAAGGAACCTTCTACAGTAACAACAATCGCCGGCTCTATTGCTTGAAGCAGCACCAGGCAAACCATGAAGCAAGTGGGTGGCAAGTGTTTGTGGCAGCCCAGGTTTACGATTTCGATGACTTTCAAGGGGTTTACAATTTCGATGACTTTCGAGGAGCTCCCATTAGACGCTTCAAGTCTCGAATGAGGGATAGGCAGAATGCAGGCACACCGCCAGGTGAGATCCAGGTCCGTGGCAAGGGAGCCAAAGGCTCCAAGGGACGAGTTTGATTCGATGCTAACTTGGTGGTTGGTGGTTGCAATTTCACCTCTGACGTTTCTGAGTTTTTCAGAGATGATGAGTTGATCTTACTGTCATATCCATGGAACATTAGGACCGGCTTCAATGGGTGCCAACCATCAACCGTGTTGTCATTTCCTTTTATGCGCCTTGCAGGGATGGGCCATGACTGAAGGTCATAGGTTCGCCTTGCCGAATTTGTCATGTTGCAAAGAGGCTTGAAAAAACGCAGGAGGCTTCCACGGGTAAGCCTTTTCCCTCCCTCGGGTGTTGACAAAAAGCTGCAAAACCTTTTCTCGGGACCTGGTCTCTCCACTCAACAAGAACAGGCGCAAAAGGTTGTATAATTCGATTGAAGTTGTATTGTTCAGGGAAACAGCTCGAGAGTCATGTTTGCAATCACCAACCCCACCAGCCCTTGATGTCGTCCAGCTTCAAGTTGTGAAGACCAGTCGCATGTCCGTGACCAGTCGCGTGTCCGTGGTCGCAGGCTGTGTACAGGAAGCTGTGGAACAACATACCACCGCACATTCAGGATAATTCTCAGACAGTCCCCCTGACATAGGCATATAATACTGATACATTCGGGTGGCTTTATGGTGGTTTCAGAGGTCAATGTATGTAAAAATATGCAATAAATGAAGTATTCTAGTTTAATCAATATAATAAATCTAGTATGTTTAAATGTGCTTTTTCACCACAGCTATATTGCGTAGATTTGACCTGTGGATTGGACGAGTCACTCCCCCAAACAGGTCATCCGAAGAGTTTCCTCTCAGCTGATTTTCGCCTGATATGACGAGGATTCGAAGAGTGAAGAGAAGGAGTTGGCCATCCGAATGGAGCGAGAGAAGGAAGAAGAGCTGGAGGATCTGAAGCAGTGCTTGGGCTGTGTTTGGTGTCCCAAAACCCCCATGTGTTTCCCAAATGGTGGTGAACATCCGGGTTTTGTCCCCAAATCTTTGTATTACTGAAATCTTCGTGTCTCCAAATCTCAACATCAGGGAGGTGGTTACCCTGATGCTTTAGACATCACAACGAATCATGACCCTCAAAAAAAATGGGTGACAACATGACAAACACTTCTATCATTCTTGGAGCGCAGCGGCCACAAGGCTTGACCCCTTTTTCCAGTTCCTGCAGGTGTACCCCCCAAAAAACAGAACCACAAACGTTTGAAACACCCCTCTCCGCCGATCCGTCTGCTGTTTTTCAACTCGACCTGCCGTGGGAGGTCAAAACTCGCCGCTTGACGCTCCGAGACACGGAACCGCCAGGGTTCGACGTCGCCCCGTCGAGGTTTTTCCTGCAGATCGACCTGGATGGCAGTGGCTCCCTGACGAAGCAGGAGTGCCCTGGCTGAGGGTGATGTGAGGTGATGTGCTGCAAACCCAGAGTAGAACTGGAGTGATGGACTACTCACTCATGCCATCTGACAACATTTGAGATAGAATCAATTACAACAGTTTGTGTATTGAGAGTGATTATCATAAGGTGATCCATCTCAGGATTGGTCCGCGTGCGGCATACCCTGTCGTAAGCCCACATAGAAAACTAATTAGGTTGTTTGGAAGATGATTGCTTTTTGTTTAAGCAACATCTGCTGGGGGTGGTTTGTCAGTGTAACTTTTGTTTTGAGAGGGAATTACTATCGCAAACAGTCCATGTATGGCATATTATTTATACATAAACCCCCGAAACCCCTCACCCCCCAATTTAGGTAGATTAGGTATACATGTTTATCATACATGGATGGTTTGGGTACATTGTCACATGTTTTATTAAACATTCAAGACTTGCAGTCCGCAGTGGCCTCGTGCTCAGCTGCAACGGAAGAACAAATGCAACAAAAACTGATTGGTGCTTAGTAGGGAATAAGGGAATGAGCCCTCAATAGGGATTCCATTAGACCCAGCCACCCTCATTCCCTAGTAAGCACAAGTCAGAAAAAGCAAAACACCAGAACATCAAGAGAAGTCGACTACTTGGGAGATCAACCTACCAGAGTGAGTTCCAAGCTTCTGGTGCCTGTTTTGACCGCCAAATCAGGTTCTTCAAGGCCACGAAGCAAAGACGCTTGGCTCGCCCTTTTGGACAACAAGTGGTATCTCGATTGGTGGGCGAAGCATATATATATATACACGCGCCACCCAAGTTCACACATTTGTTGGTTTTGTATAGATTTATTGTTTTCCGTTTTGCTGACTACTTGGCATGGTACCTGATGTCTCAAGTGGCTTGAGCGAAGGTTGATGACACACTTTAAGGTCTAAGGTGTGTATAAGATCATCCCTTACTATCAGTCTTTGCACCGGAGCAATGCCACATGGTCTTCCACCACCATCCGGAACTCCAGTTCCGCCAAAACATACAGATGCTCAGACAAATTACCCTCGCATGCAAAAGCACATGAAAGTGTGTGCGTGTGTGTTGAATGTGTCCTTTATATTGCATGTGTCCTTTGTTTTCATCAGTAGATCTTATAGACTTATAGACGCATAGATCATAGATGATCATAGATATAATATACATACACCCTGGATGGGGTGGTGACTCCGCTCCGGTGCACTGACAAGCAGAGAGCCGAGGAAAGATTCGGAACAAGCTGCGTGCCTTGGACATCATGCCCAAAGACATCGACGAGCTCTGGGCCTCTCGGATCGGGTCTGGGCGGCTTGGGCTGACGCGCTGGAGTGGTGCGGAGAGAGACACAGGCCTGGCCAGGCCATGGCGGCCATGGCTCCTTTTGGAGTGAAGAGTTGGCTTCTTTCTTCGTCATGATCATGATTGGACCAGTGAGTGTACAAGAGTTTACTAATTACTCCCGTCTCGCTGCGACATGTGTCAGTGTTGCTACATTCCATGTGTCGAGACACATGGACGGCTGGTGGTTTAGAGTACTTTTCATGTTTGCTTCCTATTTGTTTGTGATTCTCCCAATGAATTCCTCAATGTCTTTGGGATGGTTACTCTACCGTGACTCTAGCGTGACTTCCCCCTCACTCGAAGTTTTATTTATCAAACACGTTTAACGAACCAGTTTTGAATATAAACAACTGGGACTCTAACGTGACTCCAGCGTGACTCTAACGTGACTCCCGCGTGACTCTGGCCCCTGCCACACGCTTTTGCCCATTGAGTGCGCTGATGGACCAACCGGCGATTCCCTCAGGGGGAACCTGATCATGGTCTTTCCCCAGCACCGGCACCTGTGATGTAGACAACTGCTCACATCAATCCGGATGTATGGACCACAGTCATGCCTCCATGCCTCAAATTGGGCACTTTCGTTGCTAATTCGGCTGCCAAGCCCAAGGGCTATAGGAGATGTATGGAGATGTTTGATCTAAGCTGAAGAAGCATCTACATACAGATGCCTTCTTTCCCCGCTTTGTTGGAATCATAGAAGCCCGTAGAAACAAATATGAACTGTACATGAACCTGAAAGTGCCTCTGGATCCTCACCACCAGTTGGCGTCACATCGACTCTTCTGGTTCCAACTTCCCGGAGCACTTCGGACGCTTTGTGTCCGCTTTGGATCCTTTCCAGCCAGGATATCCTGGACGATGGGCAGGGCGAACTGGAGGTGGAGGCCTTCCAATCCGGCATTCGGAAGCTCCGAGGTGAAGCCAAGCCTCTTGGACGGTGCGGAAAGAAGATTTGTTGGGTGCACTCGTGAAATGACCTATCTTGTTGTGTGGCGTAGTTCCTGCGAGTCCAAATGAACAGCAATGAAGTGGATTTATGTGGATCTAAAGCCCAGAAGCATGTTGTTTATGCATTGGACATGTTTCAATCAGGCACCCACGGCTGAGATCGAATGCGTATATGTGTTTTTGTTGTTTCAGCCGCTGAAGAAGTCCTGGCCGATCGACTGTGCTTGATTTCCCTCCTCACGGTGTCCACACATGTTTTTTTGGTGGGTTCGGGCCCAAATGAGTGATTGTGCTACAAAACAAGGTGCCCAATATTTCATGGTGTTCCAATGGATGATGGGCACCTCATCGTTTGTGAATTTGGACTAAACCGGTGAGCCACGTGTGTTGGACTCCCGGTGCAGAGTGGAGAGTGGATACCGAGCCAAGGTGGCCACGCGTGCGGTGAAATCGAGTGACCCTGTTGACACGTTGGTTCGTTGGTCTGACGATGGTGAACCGGGTGAAGAAGGTGACCCTGTTGACACAATGAAACATATATATATATGGATATACCTGGATCATCCAATGGATCATTCCATGGATCGCCAGTTATTCATGAAAGTCTAATAGAGAAAACGCAAGTCGTATAATATGGACCTCCAGCCAGGATACCCCAGGATGGATGATCCTTGATTTGAACCTGACCTCTACTGGTGGGACAGACCACCCTCTATACTGTATCGAGTCTTCCGAAGTCTGGCGAGAGGGCGAGAGGGAAGTGAGATCGAATCACTCGCCGCCTGGGCGGAGTGAGGTCGAAGGACATTTTGAAGTTGTTACCTGGCCATCCAAACAAGGGAGAGATGGACAGCTGTGCAACGCGGACATGGGGAAATCTTCAATGGACACAGCATGAAACATGCTACTTTTAGCACTATGTCTCACCTTTCTGTTCTTTCTGTTTTGCAAGACACAATACGTGAGTTGCTAGCTGGTGCGACTGCGGAGGTAGCGACTGCGGAGCCGGGGTTCCATATCCTCCTGTTTCTTTTTAGTCTGGGGAAATCAACAAGGTGGTATATAATTGCTGCAGGTTGAGCCTTTTAAAGCAGGGTGACTCAGGATGTTCCAAGCAGTTTTGGACAGAATCATCCAAAGATTGATTTCCAAGCCAAGCATGCATCCTAAACAAGAGAGCACTCTCCATTCAACAACCATGGCAGTGGAACATGGCCCCGACAGGAAGACTGTGTTCCTCTACGAAAAGGCCATGTTCATCCATTTTCCACTTGGATGGGTTTCCAGATTATTCTGGATGTTTCCGTTTCCAGGGAGGGTACGTGTTTTTGGGGTCTTTGCAAAAGAACATCGAAGCGGTGACACGGGTTTCAGAGGGGATTCTTCATGGGGATTTTTCATGCGTGGGTTTTCCTGGGGTACATGAACCTAGCCAGGAAAAGATGATGAACTGCAAAACGGTTTTAAACCATGTTTCACAGGAAAAACGCAGAACATGGTTACTGTATATAACCTTTACCATCTTTACTTTTCAGGAAAAGCTACAAGGGAGTCAGTGAAACAAACTCAAATCTCAGTGGTTGACCTTGAGTTCCGACCTCAAACATGATCCAACTGGGTGACGATGTCTTCTTCACAGCTTTGCGCAGCCGGACATTTGAGTCTGCCAAGCGCAGGTTCAGCCAATCGGTGTGGTTTGATCCCCTAATCAAGGGTTAGGAATACTCATGGCCAAGGGACCCTGAAACATGGCCAAACACCACTCAGTCATTGAACAGTTTTGTTTGTTTTACCTCATATGTCTATCGTTGTGTTGACATCTACCAGCCCAAAAATACCAGCGCGGTCCACCCAAACCCCCCCCGACGTCAAAGTACCTGAACCCATCTGAACCCTTCGCCTTAGGGTGCGTTTCACCTCCAGACATCCACTTTCTGATCCACTAAGTATATACCTGGACCTTCAAGGGGTGTCTAATGGAGGTCCCTTAGTGGTGTAGGGGCTTCCAGCCAGGTGACCCCTTTGAAGGTGCTGGTATGTTCATAATATCTTCTATAGGATTATAGGGTAGTCTATTCGTGTTCCCCCGACTTCAGGAGGTGCTGGTACCTGAATCGATTGAAGATCAGTCCCACAATGCATCCACACCTCCGTGCCCGGTTCGCCGGTGCGGCGGCAGTGAGGTCCAAGGAGCTGCGGCAGTTTGAGATGTCAGTCCCTAGGCTTCCAACCATTCCCAGACACGACTACTGGGACTGCCAGTCCGGACTGCCGATCACTTGGGGTGGTTGACTGGGGGTCTGTCTGGGGCGGCAGTCCTATGGCAGTCCCATGGGTCGTGTCTGGGATTGATTTGATTGAACCGTATACCAAAGTATAATCCCATCATTGTTTTACAAAGGATTTGGACACAACACACACACACACACACACGGCATTTTACCATATGTTACCCGTAAGAAATCAAACAACACATGGCTCTACCGGACTTGTTACACGACCCCAATGGACCAAAAGTCAACCAGTTTAACACGGCGATAGCCGCCGCGGGTGTTCTTCGTGCCTCGGGCGTCGAGACGGGAGGATGGATGGGGTGACAGGCACAACAGATTTGCTCCACGCTTTTTCCCGGAAAAAGGATGGGCTGCCCGGGGGGGGACGTTGTTCCTATAGCTTTGAAGGATGTGGTTCCCAACATGTTGCAACCTCTCTTTGACGGATTTCTGTCCGTTGAGTGTCCGCTGACCCGAGGAGTCGTCCGAGGTCCCGTCGACCCGAGTAACGGAGAGGAAAGGAGTAAGTATGCGGCGTGGCATGGAGATCTAAAAAGCTAAAAAGCAAGTCCTGAGAATTGGACGATATAGCCTAGCCGGGGTAGTTAAACCACCGTTTTCTGCCTGGCATGGAAGTGAACGAAGCTTAGATTAATGAAGCCTTTGTAACAGTGCCTAGGAGCGAATGGTGTCCAAGCTTAGATGATATCCCAGACACTCCATGTATGCCATATATGATGCTTACATTGGGGTGGTTTTGGGGGTCAATGGGGCGGCATATATGGCATGTATGGAGTGTTTGGATATAAGACATGTTTTTGTTGGTGCACAAAGATTGTTTTTACCGCACTTGAGGGCCGAGGGGCTTCTGTTGGTGGCATGAAAGAGCCGCCAAAGACCTGCTTTCCTTTGGGATTTAGAAGAGAGTTTCCAATCGGATTGCTCAGCAGTACTTGTGCTTGGCCGTGTGTGTGATCCTAATGACTTTGTGGATCAACCCCCTCAGAGCCGTGTGCCTATTGAAGTGACCCGGAAGTCAATTTCTGGATTCTGCGATGGCAGCCACTCATGTGCACGCCCCCGGAAACTCCCTGAATGCATCGGAATCAGGTCCCTCAGGTTGTGGTACCCTAAGGAGTGAATGCAGATTCCAGAATCGCAAGGACCGGACTTGGGGGCGGTCAAACGCATATGGAATGAAGGATTTGGACGCACTGCCCACAGATACCAGGTATCTAAGACATCTTAAAGTAATCACCTTTGGTACCTGCAAAATGGTGACTTACCTACCCTGGACACCACTCTACATCCTCCAAGTAGCTTGGGGTACCTGAGCATTCTACATCCTCCATCCGAAGATAGCTAGATGCGACAAACACCTAGCCCCCTCGCCCGAGGTGGATGAGGTCGAAGGATTCATTGAATCCAGTCACTTGGCGAAGGATGCCTGGGACGAGTCGTCCATGGCCCTTCAGAGACCAGATGGATAATTGGGAGGAGTAACCCATTCAAGAGTCTACCTGGAAAGGTGTATGAACACCTTTTTTTTTGTGCGAAGGCCGTCTTTGGACAGAATTTATCGTATATATATGGACCATGTTAATTAACGAATTAACGTATTTAGCCGTATGGACAAAGAAACAATACCGTACAAAAGCGTACCCATATGAAACCCAAACTTTATCAACATTTTATTGACAAAAACCCAAACAATTATATTGATAAAACCCGATCAAACCCAATATTCGGAGGAATTCCAGCAAATTTGTCCATTTCACAAAAAAGGCCGGATGCACGGATTTTTTGTGCGAACGTGTTTGAACAAAAACAAATGCACATTTGGGTTCCCTGGTACATTAGAGCTCCTCTTCAGGTTGGAGATGGTTGGAGGGGTGCATCAAGTGTGTTCTTTGTCCCAGCGAGCATGAGAGCTGGGAACTCTGATGGACATACATGGACCCGAAGCTCTTGTGAAGGTTCCGAAAGCCGGTTTCAGGATCCATATATTTAGTGAACCTGGGGTGCTTGCAGATCCACTGAACTTGCAGTTCCAAGCCCGTGTTTCCTACATAGAGTCATGGTTCCAGTTTCAGTGAACCAGTTCAGGGTGTTTTTTCATCATTTCTTCATCCACTGGAGCGCACCTGGTGCACCAAAAGCACGTATTACGGTACCTCAGGAAAGCTCTCTGCAAGCATCATCCATGGCCTTTCTCCGAGGTAAGCACCGCCTGAAGAGCGTCAACCATCAGCTCACGCGTTGCCGTGGGGACATCGCCGCTTTCACGCGGACCTTGGTCAGAGCACCTTGCCCAGCGACGATGGTCAGGAATGGCGCCGGCGATGGGCGGGGAAAAGATTTAGTTTTCGCCTGGAAGACTCCAGGACGTGTTTAGTTCAATCACAGCCAATGATCGAGGGGAGGCTCACGGGCGTCTTAAGAGTCTTAAGACACTTCCACCCGTGCGAATGGTGGGTGTCTTGGGTGTTTCAGGCGAAGGAGGCCGTGAAGATGGCAGCGCAGACGCAAAACATGAGCTGAGCCCACGAACGTTCTGAACGCGGCTTGGCCGGCAGACTCGTTTGTATGATGGGTGGAGGGATGATGGGGGGTGAGTGCTTTTGTGCGAGTTCATTGAATAATATCAGGGAGAAAACACGCACGCAGGTTCAGGAGTCGCAGTTTTGAGTAGTTTTGTTGCGAGAAAACAAAAACATATAGTATCATGTAATAGTGTCGGTTTTGGAAGGTGTTGGAAATAATATGAGAGGCAGCTACCCATGTTGAACATGTACTTGTTGTGGGCCATATATCAGTTACTATATCACCCGTACCCATACAGCTGCCAGCTGTTTTTGTTCTACAGCTGCCAGCTCACTATAAGACGGTAGAGGAAGACTGAGCCAAAGAAAAGCGGCCGACAGGGTTGTTCATCAAGATTCCAGCAGAGGTTAGGTGACCTTAGAATATAGGACCCTAGTGGGGTACCTATAATATAGGATAGATAGTCTGCTGGTTCTACATTAGGAACTGAATTGACTCAGATTGGACTACTCCAAAGGACTCTGAAGCATGACTTAAGTCGTTTCTTCATGAAGCCAGCCTCGCGGTCCTCTCGATGAGGGGTTGCTGCACCTCCAGACTTGTATTATGGCTTTGATTCAGCTTGGGGGACCAGATCTACTAGCCTTGATCACAGCTGTGGTCATGTTCACATCTCAGACCAGGTCTACCTTTCCGGTCAGCTTGGCCCCTCGGCGTAGGGAGGAGACTCCCCTCAAGCAATCTAGAGGACCACCAGAAGGTCTTCTCTTGCTTCTACGGCAGCTTCCTTTCAAGAGAGTCAATAACTCACAACACTCTGACTCATTAACATGGAAGTGGAAAATGGGCCCCTGGAATACTGGAAGACGACTTTCCCTCTAGAAACAGGGTGCTTTCCACTTCCGCGTGATGTGTTCCCTGGATCCAGTAATTACCAAAGACCACCAATCGGGCAACTCCTTTTTTATATTCAAACCACAAAACGCAAAACAGATGAACACATCGAGTACTCATCAATGTCCTTCACCTCACCTGATCTCCCATTTCCAGGCCTCCAGTGAGGCAGGAGATATGTGTCCGAGCGGACACACCGTGCACGCGCCTTTTTTGTGGGGCTGTTCGAGGTTCTGAAGTATCAAAGAGTGATGTCCACATGTTGTACCAAAATACATTGGAGTTCCAAGTATATGCATTTCCAAGAGAGGATCCACTTCTCCTAGGGGTCACTATAAGAACATCGTCAGGCATCATAAAATGTGGGAGCGTTTCCGACCAGCGTGTTGGTCATTCCCAGGCGGTTTACTGTACACAATAGTTATAGTTGCTATAGTTCATGGCCAAATTGCTGGTGTTGATGAGGGATAGGCCTGGAGCATCCACATCATATAGTAACATATAATAACATACCGTAAATAAATCCATGAACTGATTCAATATCCCACGTCCTTTTGGAGGAAGCTCTTGCTTTCTTCGAATTTGTTGAAGAAAAAACTGGTTGTGTTGGAACAACATGGCGATAGATTTAATAGCTTCTTTTTGGAATCCTTGTGTGGTTCGGCTCCTTCCAACATCATCGATCTGCATGGCTGCATGGCCTTGGAGCAGGTCTTTGGACAAGTCAACCTACTGCAAGCATGGATGAAAGTAAAGGCTGAATTTCAGTGCTGATTTATGTATCAGACGTAACCACCAGGCGTTTGTTGCGGCAGAACTTGGGCCAACACTTGTTGCCCATTTGTTGGCTTCGAAACAGCAAAAGGAGTTGAAACCTGGAACCCAGGCTATCCCACCGGACCGGCAAGGAATCATGACATCAATATAGTGTCTTCTTTAAGACCTACCTAGTGCATCCAATAAATGCCCTGTTTGGAGACCTATAAGTAGGGCGAGGTGTTCATTGGTGATCCGTTGGAAGCAGCTGGCACTTGGAGTTTGTTTTCAGTGTTGACCAGCCCCATAAGGGATTCCTAAGTAGGGCGAGGTGTTCATTGGTGATCCGTTGGAAGCAGCTGGCACTTGGAGTTTGTTTTCAGTGTTGACCAGCCCCATAAGGGATTCCTGCCTTTCACCGAGTGTACTTCAGGAACCATTTCACTCAGTTCCCACGCGCGTGGGCATAGGAGGCACCCCCAAGGGGGATGTCAAACAGTGTCAGTGCTTTCCTGATGTCAACGGTTTGAAGCTGAGCACAGTCGTGTGCACTCGAAAGAATTGATCTTCAGAGTTAGGCAGGAAATGGTTTTTCAAAACAGTTTTAGTGGATTCACTTTTCAAGCTATTTTTTGGGGGTCACTCTACAGTAAACAGTCTATGGTATTGGGAACTTGATGTTGAAGTACAACGAAACCCATATTATATGCGTGTTGATTTTTTGCTGAGACTTTTGTCGCTATTTTGCGTTTTCCTGGTGTGCCCTGCTGGTGGAAAAAACAGCAGTTTTTGATTGCGTTGGGGAGTGGGTTTTCCTCCACCGGTAATCTCACATTCCAAGACCCTAGGGCTCCAGTCGTACCCCCCCAGAAGGTATTTGGACCCTCTAAACCCACCCCAAACACCTTCTAAGAAGGTCCTTGGAGCCCTAGGGAGAGTAATAAGCAACACTCACTATCAGGGGCTCGAGCTCTATCGACTACAGCAGTTGCTCCCAAGAAGGGCTGGGCGACACGGGTGGGAACCAAGAGTCCGAACGTAAAGAGACGACCTACCGTTGCTAGCGTTGAAACGAGTGGCATGCAGAGGATGACACACTACGCAACTAGACGAGACATCATGAGATAATACATCAAGGGCGGGTAAGGAGGAGCGAGTCTCTTTAAATGCGGAGCCACGAACACCAGTGTCAAAGAGGCTCCAGAAACGATGGATTCTGAACTATACACAATCCAAGAATCAAACCCCGAAACAGACTGCGGGCAATTTGCGTGTCTTTCCAACTATAGAGGGCTTTGGACAGGGAAAGCTCGACTCCGGCTGCCGCTTGACCAAGTCAAGTCGGCCTCGGTTTCACCCATTTCCTCGAGAAAGTTTCGGGCTCCCGGGTGGAGTGCAAAAAAGAACATATAGTTCTGCAGCCCAGTGGTGGATTTTGAGCAGATTGCCCTTCGATGATATTGCAAAACAATGCCAAACAGTTTTTGTATTTCCCAGAAATACCATGAAATACCACAAACATAAATATCCAATGTACCACAGTCCAAACTGTTCAACTTGGACATGCAAGACATGCACACCGCCTGAGACCACAACTGGACGACGGAAGAACTTCTGTAGCTTCCCCTCATTGACAAGCCGTGGGTTTGAAGTTGCTCCTGCAACCAAACTCTGTGTTTGTAGGTGGACTGACGGCCACGCCCATGATCTTTGAGGATTACCTCATTCTAAAGTTGGTCACCCAAGTGGGGCAACTGCAGGACACCAACAGGAGGCTAAACTGCAAACGCCACGATCATCTGTTCCGCGACTCCTCTTCAATCAGCCTTCCATCCGCCTGCCCCATTGTCCTTCGACCGTCCGACCACCTCGACCACCTTTTCACGTCCGTCCACGACCTCGTCGTCCGCGGGTCGTCGTCTTCGCCTGCTCACGACCGACCCTCCACGCTGCGCGTCGTCGCCAGGCGGGTGGCTCTTCGGCTGTTTCTCCGTGACCTGTGACGAAGGCACCGGACATGTGGAGCAGCGAGGCGGGCGGGTGTTGGACTGAACGGGTGGGATCGGGGCCGGGTGGTGGAGAGGCCAGGTATTTGAGGACTCAGGGAAACAGGAACATCTTTGCCTCGTCAGAGCAGAGAGAACCCCATTTTCAGCGGTTCTAAGAGCCAGGACTAAAAACCTCATATAGGTGCTCAAGATGCTCTTCCAGGAGCCTAATGTAGCCTAATGGTCCACTTGGATGCTTAGTAGATGCTTGTATACAAAGGAGGACTCGGGATGCTTGGGTTCCGTGGAGTTCGGCTGGTTCTTGGAAAAACATCGTGCACCCGAAAAACACTTATTTGGGGTCTACTAACATCTGCTAACCAATCCAAGCTGGAACTTCTGGGACTTATCTAAATCATTTCCAGTCAGTACCCTCTCTCCAACACACATGGAAGTTGACAAACTCGTCTTCTGTTCAGGACAAATGCTTCACTTCCGCTGATTGTTTGAAGGGGAGCCCTTCTTGACCACCCCGAATCTGTTCGAGTGCCAGTGGCTTCGGATCCCTAGATGCCGAGGTCAGGTTTGAGTCCAGCGTGAGACAGACCTCAGCGGCCAGGCTACTCTGTAAAACTACAGCAAAGCCAGGGCTTCTGTGGCCGGAACCAGGAGCGGGGTTAAAATGCCTGCTTGGTATTCGGAACATGATCATCCAACGAACCATGCCATCCATTTCCATTGTCTTGTCTTGGGAGTGTTTCCTATCAACACTCTTCAATTTGATCATTGGATGTCCATGGAGAGAACCATGTCATCCGTGTACCACTGGGCTCAAATGGGGTTGGTTGGGAAGTGCGGCAGAGAGGTGATCGACAAGTAGCATACCTACAAGCATACCTCATAGGGTCTCAATGGAAGCCTTGTTTCTTTTGGTGAAATCAACCATACCTCTGGCTTGTTCTTTACACCTCGGGTACCCAGAAGCTTCTTCTTGTTCAATGCTCAACCCGAACAAATAGACCCGTACCATAAAGCCATGACCCGTACCAAAACCTGTTGGGAACACCTCAGGCTTCCTTCAGAAACGACCATGTTCCATCAACCGGAGTTGGGTCCCGTATAGGGTAACTATTATAGGAACTCTATGTACCCTCAAGTGGGCCTCGATTCGGATACTCCGGCACTCATCGATTCCGAATAGTTGTCACCCAATAAGATCAAACCTTCATCAAACTCAGCAAATTCTTAAGGGTTGTTCATGAACTCAGCCTTTGAGAACTATTTGGTCAATCCTCCGCAGTTCATGATTTTTGGAAGACGATCGTCCTCTTTGCCAGAGACAGAATACGAGCAGCCTGGGCATGAATCTGATCAAAGGGATCAAGTGGTCCAGCCAGGTACGGCTTCTTGTGACGCCGCAATCTGCCGTCACGTCATGGCAGTCTTTGTGCGAAGTTGCTGGGTGCAGCTCCGGCGTTTCGACCGCGGAGCCGCCCTTCGAACGAGCAGCGCGACCGCCTGGAAAGAAGTGGAAGGCCACACTGGCAGTGGCAGCACACCTGAGAGTTGAAGGAAGTGCCTTGCTCTTGAGCGAAAAAAAGTGGGTTTTGGGCATCTTGCTGCTCAAGAGCAGCTGAGAGTTGTTGAGCATTAAGTGGCACTTCCTTGCTCTTGAGCATCTTGATGTTGTCCTTGGACGTGCTCTTGCTGCCAGTGCATCACTTTGTGGACCTTGAAGTGCAGATATCCCCGTAGACGCAGCACTTTGGTGCAGATTCGCTGGCAGGCGCAGCATTTGGAGAACCAATTGGGCAGCGAGGTGTTGTCAGGAAGGGAACACAGACATGAAGTTCATGCAGAAAGAAGGACAGCTGCGAGTCTTGACCGAGCCGGCGCGAGGCGAAAAACGCCTCGTGGGCAGCTTGGCTCGTCCGCTTCTGCTCGTCCGACTCCTGACACCCAGCGCACCCGCGCCGGTTCAGGACAGCGAGGAACGAAGAAAGAGCGCTGATCGATCGAAGCAACGAACTTCAAACCTGGCAAAACCTTGAGGTTGACAACAAGGGGGCTGCCGACACCCGAGAGGGGTTGGGGAGCTGGGTACGAAGGAGTATAGTTAAGGCAGGTCATACCTCGTCTTCAGAGAGTCTAGAGTTTATATCCGTGCCATTCGTGTGCCACTTAATTACAGACAACTTAGGAGTTTAGATTCAACTCACGAATTCAATGAAGGATACGAAACCATCAGCATTGAGGAGGTTTGCTCGCTTTTTGAAGCATCCCCTCGAAGAGACGTACTGGCACCTTTCCCAGACTGCCAGGTTAGGTAAAATATGGACCCAAATATTGCTTCGTTATTGGCAAAAAACTTTGCCCAAGGTTGGTTCTTTAGTGAATCTGGGTTCTTTGGGTTCTTTGTTTCTTGAATTGATTTGTGGTAGCACCACCGAGCAAGCAAAACAATCTCGCGCTGTGTTTTTCCTTCTCTTGTGCTCTGTCCAGTGCACGTGATCCTCACTGCACAAACTGATGTAAAAAAAGAAAAAAAACACGTTATGGCTCAGAGCGCTTGAAACCTGCGGCTTCAGCCGCTTGTAACTCCGGTCAGTGAACCCCAAACCCACGTCTTGTGCCCATCAACATAACTCGGTCCTTGGCTTCTTGCCATAAGCTGGACGCTTCAAAGCTGCTGCTGCTGCTGCTGCTGGCTTCATGCAGCCATCCATAGCACTGGCAGGGCGCTTGCCATGGGTGCCATGGTAAGCGCGAAACTTAAGCCAGAAACCTTGCACCCTCTATCTCGACCCTCTCTCACAACGAGCCAGCATGCATACCTACAACAAAGAACTCTCATTGTGTGGAAGAACTAACTTTCACTGAAGTGCTTAGAAGGCCAAGAGTGTATTTTTTGAGAACACCAGAGGCATCAATGTGTCCGACCCGAAGAAGTGCTGTGTTTGACCGTCCTTTTCGTCACGTGGTGGATCAAAAACCGGACCATGCACTCCCAGCCCACCGCTCGCTCACCGGAGGATCCGAAGAAAAACACGCCACTCCCCCCGCATCCCCCCGCTCTCCGCTCATCGTCCGAACCGAGCGGGGTCGGGGTTGGTGGATCACCGCCATTCCCAGAAGAGAGAGGCGCGGATGACTTCAGAGCAGAGTACTTCAGCTGTGCTTTCCCTTGCTCGCCTTGCTGCTTCTCCCCTTCCTCCTTCGCTTCGTCGTTTGCCCCAGGACAAAATCTCCTTTATCGTTGCGAATCGAAGCCGCGCAGCCCCAGTGTATCTTTTCGGGGGTCGTTCGATGGCGCACGAGGTGTCGCGACTGCGTGTCGATGTGGTCCGAGTGGTCCTAAAGTCCGAAGAAAGAGAAACAACTATAGACAAACCATCGCTCAAGTGTGTGATCCCGTTTTTTTTAGGAGGCTTACTGAAAGTCAATTCGGACTTGGAGGACTTGACCTAGCAAAAAGCGCAAAAAAGGACTTGAAAAACTTGTTCAATCTTCCAGTCCTTTCTCAGAAGTGACTTGGGTCCAAAGATGTCACTCATCATCCACAAGGTCGGAACACGGCTTGCTGCGATGGAACCGACCGGGCGCACCGTGTCCCAGGTCTCGACGTGCAATGCGTGGCCTTCGCCGAGGCGCCGCCACGAAACCCCAGATGGAGGTGTCGGTTGGTTTGACTTCAGAGATTTGGAACAACTGGTTTTAGGTTGTTTCTGGTGCATTTAGACATATGTTGATATGTTGCGCATGTTTTTGTTTTGTTTTGATGGCATCCTCTTCTTCCTAATCTATGCAGCCGACATAGACAGAAGTGAAGCTTTGTTAAATCAACTCAGATACCCAGAGGCAATACAAACAAACACGCAATGATTCCAACAATCTCACCAAACTGAGCAACTTCCAAGTCTGGAACTAACAAATGGCCTGTCATGTGATCTACAGTACTTCGGATTGGTGAATGTTATGTATATGTTTCCAAATCGATGCATGCTGAACATCTTGGTGATGACCCTTGAAATTTCTGCAAAAACATGGATATATACATCGCTGGTGCATCCTTCTGCCAATGTCACTAGACTTTGGCTTCAGTTTGATCTTCAACTGATGCTCTTAAAACAACACAAACTATGTGACGTCTCTTGTCCTTGTTTGACCACCGGACATATTTGCTGGATTTTGGTTGATGATTGAACGTGATTGAACATGTTTTGCTTTGAAACTGAGTTGGGAACCCTTGGTGCCAAGCAATGCCATGTTTCATGTGCTACTGTATCTAGTTTTAAAACCATTGTAGCAACATTTCTGTAGTGGGAAACTCGCAAACCCCGAAGCAATTTGCACTAAAGCAGAAATCAAGCATCTCCTAAACTCTGAACACCCAGAACTGGTGAGACCGAAGTCTGAAGATTGAAATCTGGTTTGTCGTGATTTCCCGGTGAAATGGATGTTTCCCTTGAAACACGTTTACGTGACATGTTCTCACGACTTTGAAAGGTTTCCCGCGGAATGAGTCCGTCATTGATTTGTCTCGGGAGTATTTTGGTGGCAGAAAACCAAGAAGAACATCGATGCAGTCATGAAGCAGCCATGAAGATGGGAAATAAATCCAACTGTTCCCATGTGTTCAACAAACACATCCCATAGTATTGAAGTGCCCAGCAGATCCCGACAGCCTCTTGATGAACACCAAGCACCATCACATGGCTTTTTACTGAGGACATCTGAGGACTGGGGTCGATGCCAATCGACCCGCGGAGCACTGCTTCGTTCAAGCAACAGTGTTTGGCACTTCCGTCCCCTGAACATGATCCACCTCAAGCATCAGACCCTCCTTTGGAGCACTTTGGATTTTCGCCGGGGTTTGGACCCCGAACCAAACCTTCACCTTTTTTGGGGTCTTGAGTGCGACCAGGGCTTCGAACTCCCACCCTCAGAGAATGGGGTCCGTGGGACGACCTGATCTCTGCAACTCTGCGGACGGTTGGGTGGTGGGACCCCCTTGATCTCTGCAACTCTACAACGCCAGGTTTGTGGAGAGTCCAATTCGTCGGCAGACCCAGTGGGATGGATGTTCGCCCAGGACGTAGAGAGTGGAGAGGGACGAAACCGTCCACCTATTCGGAATGATTCTTTTTGGGGGGTTATGATGGGTTTTGACTTAGACCTGCGGTTTTTTTGGGGTTGCGCGACGTTTCACTCAATCAAATTAATGAATTCCCAATTCGTTGGTTGCCATCATGTGAAAGTAGGGGTCTGGGGTTTTGGCCAACACGCACAAACGCACTGTAGAGTCATCCTTGGCAGACTCATGAACAGACGAGCAATGGAAAAAAGATGAAAAATGCCAGTCTGCAGAGCAACATGATTTTTATCCGTCCGATGTCCTCGGTTTGATGAAGGATTTTGTTGCAACGCAGGAGAGGGGAAGAGAACCTGCATCTCTTTAATATTTATTCCCGTGTGTGTTTTCTTTAGCCGTATATATCTGTTGGCATTCACTATTCTTTCCAAGGCTGACAGACAGAATTTGGCACCATAGAACCTACAACCCTCCAGTGAGGCACCATGTCAGAAGCTGGCTCGGCCGAGCTGCAAGGAAATTTGGGTAACGAGTCCTAGTGAAGGACTTTACTCCTCTCAACATGGTTGTTGATCGCCCTCCTGACTAGGAGTGCCTAAACCTTGTTTACGGTGGTTCTTCCCACTGTTCCAGTCTTTGTCGGACCATTACTTTGATCCCATTCCATCGCGCCTTGGTCTTGGAATCTTTTTTAATCCCAGTGCCTGGGCGGCTGCCAGGGACTATGAACAAATTTTCTTGCTGATTCTGATTGTTGCCCGGGCGCCAAAGGCAAGGACTTTCGGATGGCCTGTCAATTTAGTAAGCCTTCAGGGTCTAAATGGACTGAAAGACACGACGACGGTGGAAGCTCTATTTTACCGGTAGTTTGAAGTGGCTGAGATGACAAGGATTGCCACAAAATGACAATCTTTCCAAAGAATCGCCAGAGTTCATCGTATTCACATGAGCCAGATGGCTGCTCTACTAGGGCAGATGGCTGCATCCAGAAACCGATACTAGGACCGCTATAGGCACAATGATGCACGATGCAGGCCAAGAAGCATTTGAGTTGCATATACTTTATAGGATATGATATGCAACTACACCCATACACTGTCATACACTCCATGTACGGAAGATTTGCATACATCGAGGGTGGTTCCGGGATGATGGTAGATATGCCAGTCATTATATAGTCATTGTCAAGGGATGCATATCGTTTACTCTTTGGGATCGATCAAGATGAGATCCGCTTTGACCTAAGTTCGGCCTAAGTTCGGCTTCGATTGGAACCTTTGATCTGCAAATGGCTTGTGCGTGCGTTTCCAAGCACATGGCGTCAGGGGCGTTTCCACACCTGATGTTGGAGATCCTTTGAGTTGGATAGATGGCCAGAAGGGGGCGCGAGACCGAATCACTGTGCAATGGGAATGGGATTGTGCCCAGATGACCTCTGTGATATGATGGAGATTTATACTGTACCTAGAACCCAGACATGACCTCTGTTTTGATCAGAAAGGACATGACCGAAAGGTCACTCCGGCTCTAGTAGCCTGATAGACTAGGAGGACATAACATGGTCCTCGGAGCCAAATGTGCCAAAGGCAAAATAGCATGTGATTAGCCAGAATAGCGTCCAATCTTGGACGGAGACTAGGAAGCAAGTATCATCTGCATGACATTTTCTTAGCAGTATCATATCAGAACGGAAGGCGGCAAGATTAAAACAAAGCCTAAAAAGGCTAAGAAATTCCACTATACATCCTCAACCATTCCCCTCTACTTCGAGCTTGGCTTTTGGAGTTGCCATGTGGTGCCTGGCGCTGGCCACTGCGTGGCTGGTGTGGCCCCTGGCAGCCACGCAGGGAAGCTGTGAGCTTTGTGATTCAAATGAGACCTGGTCAAGATTAGATTTCTGGCCTACAGAATGGGGGAATCAACTGGTTTGTAAGTGTACATGCTTTCTGTTATGCAAACTCTTCTTTGTTCAACAATCTTTGGAATTGTTCCCCAAACAGTTTACTGTTGGGGTTCTATCTTAGAAAAGACAAGATGGAACCCACGAACCCGAATGTAAACACGTTCGAAAAACTACATATGTAAAAATGACACTCTTGTGGGACACTCTTCTGGGACACTCTTGTAGGACACTCTTGTAGGACACTCTTGTGGGTCACTCTTGTAGGAAACTCTTGTGGGACACTCTTGTGGGACACTCTTGTAGGACACTCTTGTGGGACACTCTTGTGAGACACTCTTGTAGGACACTCTTGTGGGACACTCTTGTAGGACACTCTTGTGGGACACTCTTGTGAGACACTCTTGTGGGACACTCTTGTGGGTCACTTGCAGGACACTCTTGTGGGACACTCTTGTAGGACACTCTTGTGGGACACTC